CGGATGTTGAGCTACGAATGGAGTTTGTGCTGACCGTTGAGGGGTCGGCCTATAGCTTTTTTGCGGACTCGTTGGCGTTTATGCTTAGGTGGAATTATACGGCAACGCGTGGCTGTCCGTGTCATGATGTTCTCCAGCACTTAGTTGTATTCCGGCGGTTACTGAGAATGTCATTGGGTCTATCTCTTTACAAAACTGTGTGAGAGAATGATTCGCGTATTTAGCTTTCCACGATGGATCGCCAGCCGTACGCAGACATGTACCCGTCGCCTTTACTTTAATTGCTGAAGGCAGCCTATTGCGGAATTCAGAGCAATTTTCCGTGATGAGCATCCTCATTAGCGCAGGCTGAGAAGCCATCTTCAACGGCCGGGGACTGTTCACAGTGTAGTTCGTTGAAACTGGAACTCTTGTCAACCGCTTAGTAATGATATTGTCCAGAGGGAGTACTTGGCAGATGTAACCCCATTGCACCAGTACATGTATCACCGCTTCCTCGAAGGCAATTTGAAGCTCATGAACTCCGCAAATAAGCAACATCCATTGATTGTTAGTTTTGCGAACTAATTCAAAATTATTACTTTCTTCTGCATGTTCATGCCAGGAGACATTCGGAAGTGTGCGCACCTCATTCAATGACTGACGGAGCCGAATAGACAGAAAAATTCGGTGCCAGCCAAATAAGTCGTAGCTTGTCGTAATGTACTAACTTTGGGTGGCGATAGACCAATTTCAGCATCGTGGGTCCAGCCGAAATAAGCATCGCAGCATATGTGAAATTCCACTGTTTGCGGTCGTTCATTAGCTTCCTCTTTATGGTAATAAACTGTGCTTCCGGAAAATTTGTACACACCGTAGATAGTTTATCATGTGAACTGTTCATTGCGAGAAATGAATAAGTATATGCGACAGGTGAGAAAACAAAATGATAGCTAGTAATGAGTCAAAAATTCACTGGAACGAGCTCACCAGAATGCAAATTCAACATGGCGGACGGAGTGTTCTGGACCGAGGTCACCAATTGTTGGGTGGCGTCTGGAATACTAGTCAGTAAGCAACAACACAAATACGGGACAGTATAGAAGTTGAAGGCGTCTGAAGCCAACATGTATTCTGCAGGCTAAAGCGGTAGGACGCGAAGCAACCAGCGCGAGAAATAATGCAGCAAGTTACTCATCAAAGCAATTTGTGTCGATAAAACAAGTGGACGCTTTGAAGGTTAAAACAATAGAAAAATCCAATATTGCAAAATACTGAAAAACATGTTTTCCGGTACAATACGTACTACTACTACAAAAGAAAATCTCGCTAGAAGGACATTTCGTGCATTTGAGACTCGGTGACAGCGCGAATCTTTCGGATCCCGTGGTCTAAACCCATGGGCTTAAAATTGTGCCAGCGAATTAAACAACTGAATCACGGGTGACGGCAGCGAAACACCATACCTGGTTATTAACCGCGATATAGTACTGTTGGACCTCCACGGTTATGCGTGTCGAATAGGGAATAAATGAAGGCCTTAGCTCAACAGCCACAAGTTCTTTTAAAATCCGCCACCAGTAGAGGTTGGATGTATGTCATTAAGGGGGGTCCAGAAGGATACGGTAGATACACTCTGCTGACTAGACCAAAACTGACGAACCGACCTTCAAGCGGTTTTCTTATGTGTGATATTTCACTAACTGAGTGAAACTGGGCAAATCCTCTCAAAGTCATGTTTGCTTTACTTACCATTTAGTTTCAACAAGAAGGCTAGATCATTTCACTGAAAATACAAAGACCTTTCCCACATAACGTTCGCACTGTTACTAACACGACCACTTCTATCCGTGCCAGATGATCTTCCTCCAACCCTCTTTTAAATTCGGGGGACCTGCTCTTGTGAATGATTTACACGAGTTGTTAGTGAAACTGTGGGAGCAGCAAACTGTCCCAACCGATTGGAGCCGCTCCATCATAGTCCCAATTTTCAAGCGACGCTCACAATCGGAATGCGGCAGCCATAGAGGAATCAGTCTGATTTCCATCGCCTACAAACTGCTGGCATCTATCATCCTTCGCAGACTGAGTAGCACTGATGAAACCCATATTCGTGAAGAGCAAGCCGGGTTTCGTCGAGGTCGTGGCTGCATTGACCACGTCTTCACTTTGCGTCAGTTGTTGGAGCACCGTCACATATATTGACGGGCCACCGTTGTTGTGCTCCTCGATAACAAAGTAGAATTCGATTCAATGGATAGACGTGAACCTTGTGACTGTCTACGCAGGAAAGGTGTGCCTAATATGGGAATATTATCCGAGCATTATACCTGCGTAGCTCGGGCAGAGTGAGGACTTACGGCAAGCTGTCGCCACCTTTCATTGTCCCCAGCAGTGTGAGACAAGAATGCCCGCTATCACCTTTCCTCTTTTACTTCTCTATTGACAAAGTCATGGAGATTTCATTCACATGATAACATATGGAAAGTGTGGAGCTACTTCCAGGGAAACGATTTCTTGACTTGGACTATGCTGACGATATTGCTCGAATCTGTGACAGCTCACAAACGTGACAAGCCGCAGTGGACAGATTAGCACTAGATGTCCGTCAATTCGAGCATTGCGTCGCACCCTTGAAGTGCAAAGCGTTCCTCCAAGATTGGTCTGGACCGCTTCCTGCGCTGACCCGTTGGTGGGAATCAGCTAGAAGTCATTCAAAAATTCAACTACCTGGGAAGTTGTATCGGCGCCCCTGGGATGGAAGATGAGATCACTAATTGTATAGCAGAAGCTCGAGGCGCTTTTGCCAACCTTAGCCACTTATGGCACCGGCGCGGCAGCGCTGTCGCACTGAAGGATAGAATTTACAATGCAGGGGTACCTTCGATCCTACTGTACGGTTGTGAAACCTGGCCCCTTAGATCAGCGGGCTTTAAGAGGCTGGTTACGTTCGACCGCTGGTGCCTTCGCAATTTAGCTCGCATCTGGTGGGCACATCGAGTAGGCAACGAGCGTGTTCGACGTCTTGTTTACGGCGAAGCAAAAGGAAATGAATCGCTCAGTACTGTTATTTCACGCACCCGGCTCCGATGGCTCGGCCACGTCTTACGCATGCCAGTGCACCGTCTCTCGCGGCGTGCGATGTATGGTCGCCGGGAGTGTGAATGGAAGAAGAGGAAAGGTGCCCAAGTGATAACTTGGTTAAGAGGAATGAAGGTCATCACTTCAAAGCTGGCCTCGGTTGGAGCGTCCCGGCTCCCTGGTTGGGGTCCGAAAGACGATGAACACGTTTTGTTGGATACACTTGCTTATATGGCTAGGAGCCGTCCTCAATGACGTTCCTGGTGTGAGTTTCTTTGTCCCACCCCATACCTCTTAGCCTCCCCTCCAACCACGATCTCACTATTTAGCTTTTTATAATTTTGCATAGTAATATTTTTGTTGCATAGTAGCCGGCTGGTAGCTTACCGGAACGATGCCCATCCGTTACCGGTAGCTCAGCTGGTTTGCACCAGTTGCATTTTTTCTCCTTTTTTCTATGTATTGCGGCACAGTAGCTGAGGTGTTTCCCACCTCTAGCTAACGTGTACAATGATAATGATGATCCGTGCCGTGAACTAAACATCGACCAAAGCTGTTACGACAGAAAGATAGTTGACACAAACCCTGAAACAATAGGCTAGAATTGGAGTGTATCTTCCGACCAATCGGGTACGGTTATTCAGCTGCAATTGTAGATCTTAGCTAATACCAACCTGCTGATCAGAAATCAGTTAGGTGAATTTATACTATTGGCGACTCTTAACCATACGGACTCAAAGGTTTCGTTTCACTTTGAACTAACCGTTCAGCGGATCACGATCAAACACCATTCATGACACATTATTTATCCCTGGAGGGCAGTATGTTAGACCAGTTAGGAGTTCAGTTGACACTTATTATGCCTAGCGTTGCCATACCTGGCGTGATTTTTACGACACGCCACATCTGTTTGAACCGCAGTGGACCAGTCCGAAATGGGGAACATTTGCTGATCCAGTTGCCCGCAATTTCTTCAGCAGCGTGCTCTAACCTGCTGCTGAATAGAGTGCAACAGCAGAGAGCAAGACAGAATATCCATTCCATCTTTAACACTTCAGAAGCAGTTGTAACAAGGCACTGCAATGCGGCACATCTGTCCGTAAGTTTGTAATGTCATTCTCACTGGAACACGAACCCGATGAATCACCGAAAATCAAGCACGCTAGTGTTGACGAGCGGGTTCTGTTCTTCATTTTTTGCTGCCTGTTAACGCAATCATGCTTAGGAAAGAATGACACAGTGCAAATGGCTGAGTATTTCTTTGTGTGTGTGTGTGTGTGTGTGTTGTCAGTGTCAATTAGTGTCAGGTACCATTGAACGGGAAAGAGGTGAGAAGATTTTGCCGCCTCAGCTTACTTTTAACCAGAACTCTGCCACTATCCAAATAATAAGATGATTGGTCTCAATACTTAAAAGCCAGTTGCAACCTTTTCACCTTCGCATCCGGTGTCCTTGCAGATAAGACTGCTCAAGTAAAGCTAACCGGAGCTGAGTATAGAGCGCTTGACCCCCGTGGTTGAGTTCCAATCCCTCGAATGCTAAGCTACATAGTTCAGTGTGTTACATGGACAGTTTTCACTTTAGGCAGGAGTCCAACGATCAGGATGGTAGAAGTTTGCTTTGAACTGAACCCTTGTGCAAATCGAGATTGACTTTACCAATTCAAACATGCGGTGAGTACGCCAACAGTCATTGGTTATTCAATGCCAGTTATTCAAGCATAATGGAATTTTTAATAGTGAATCTGTCACGATTCGGCAATGGTTTGCTTGGACCGCTTTACCTTAGTTTCAAATGCGGTAACTTTGTTTTGATTTCAAATTTTTTCTGAACCAGGTAATTAAACCTACAACAGCATTTCTGTTCAATCTCCTTGAATTCACCACGCATCCTTTACCTACCTATCTCTTTTATCTCATTTCGAGGTACTCACTGGCCTAGTCGAAGTGGCATGCACTATGATTCCGGACACCATGGCAGGTTTGAGTCTGTTAACCCAGGTTCTCAAATCAATTCTGAACAATGCGGACGACTTGGATCGAGCCTCACAAAAGGCGTTAACCAATCTGCTGGCCGGCATCACGAGCACTTTGGCTTCGCTGATCGCGGGTGGAAACAGTTTGGCTAGCAAGATTGTCCTTGATGAGGTTCTCAAAGTGGCTGTGAGCCTTGTGGATGTGAGTGCGCCGGTTTGCATCCGGGTTAATTGCAGAGATTACACACCTGTTCTCCACTCCACATGCTCGTTTTTTCCAGCAATTGTGTATTCATTTCTTTCTTGAAATATCATTATTGTTAAATTGCATAAATTATCATGTCATGTATGCTGATGTGCGCGCGCACACCGCCAGCTTCCTCAGTAGGTAGACACCTACTGGTCACACGGCACCGGATACAGCTCGGATCAGCGTTCATCTTAATCCTAGCTTCATGCGTTTCACCGAGGCCGTGGCAATATGCCGGATGAAGCCAGCTCTGTGTGTTCAAAAACAATTGTTTATGAGCTTAAGACTGCCATCTATATAGGGGTGGAACTTTCATCAGTCTTTTGCACCTCAAGCTTGTTCGGTAACACCCATAGTTATTTATATAGTTGCATCCCAGCTATTGTTAATGGTACTGACGAGACAGTACGAGATGCATGCATCTAGCAGCTTTCGTCTTCTAACCGTATTGTTCAAATTACTAAAGGGAAGCAGCTGCTTTTAAATTTTCTAATCATTCTCGAAATTCTTCTTACTGATGCACCTTAAAAATGGTGAAATTTCAAACTGCGTCTTCATAGTTCCTTTTCCGTTTGCAGGTGTCCAACTTCCAAATACACAACTCAATTCCCAAGGATATTCCTCATGAGCGCAAGTATCTGGACTACGACGTTGATTTGGAAAGTGAAGGTGAGTGGTATCAGTTGACCAGAATTTGCATGCGTTTCACTAACTAAATATCGGTTGCTAGACTGCACGACGAAGTAAGTAGTGTGCGGAAAATTCTGCGCGATGTGTTTGGACGTATCAATTGCGCTAACAGAGGTCTGTGTGCCGTGAAAAATTGCTATATCACAAACAGGCCTGAGCCTACAGACGTCCAGTTCAACTGTTCCCCGAAACGAGACATAATGATGTGAATACTGACAGTTATGAACTGGCAAAAGTTGAGGTTGTTAAAGTACGACGCGCTTTGCATGTAACGTGTAGGCCTTTGTTAAATGGGGGTCGTGGAAATTTGTGCGCGTACCCAAAGGTTCTTACCGGACAACCTCACAGTGTAGTAAGTCAGTCCCGAAGTAATTGTATGTGGGTTCAGTGAAGTGGGTAGCCGTACTCTGTGTGTGTGTGTGCTGCACAGGAAGCTGTGCAGCTACCTGACTAGACCACGACACTGTCTTAAGTACATCGAATTCAGAATAACAACGGAGATCAAGTTGAATTAATAATAATAATAATAATAGTAATAATAATAATAAATAGGACATATTTCTCGTGGCACCGAGAAACCGAGTCCACAAAGGAACGGGAAACATAAGAAATTAAGAAACTGGTTGGGTCACCAACTATGCGGGCGATGAAGTGTGTGGAAGGAAAGCTACTTGCAATGCTGAGTGTAACGGTTTTACCTCACAGAGCAGTAAGGACTGGAAGTTGGTTATCTGCTGCCTTCCGTAACCTGGTATGACGAATTGTGATCTCTGATAAAGTAAGTTTTTGAGGTGTACGAGCTGAGCTCTGTTCATTTCTGAAGACATCTTCCAAGCTGATAAAAGTGCATCGGCCCGCGTAACATCCGCAGGGTCCAGTGTTGATGTAGTCCACAAAACTTCAGTTACAGAAGAGTAGTAGGGGGAGTTGGATGGCATAGATAGAAATTCGTCAAATCTAGACCCACTCAGACAGCCGCCACACGCCCGGAAAAGCATTGTACGCGCGTTTCATCCTTTCGGGAATGGTCAGCAGTGCGCATTCAATCGGACCCTGGTGGGGCTCGAACCCGCAACTCGACTGTTGCCAGTCCGTGGTTGAGACCACTGAGCTACAGGGAACGGCAACGACCATCCTGAATAAGTTACTAGATATGACATGGCGCCGCTCACTGTCCACTGACTTACACATTACTGCCGTGCAGAGGACAGGATAGCCCCTCACCAAGCGACGAGCTTACCAAACTTAAGCTACCAATTAACTTATGGCATTATAAGCAGTTTGGTCTGCGTACTGATTACAGAAGAGTAGCAGGGGGAGTTGAACGGTATAGGTAGAAATTCAGTTGATCACATACTTGGTGTATGCAAATCACGTACCGCATCATTGGGGTCATCGAGGTGACTTAGTAGCTTGATGGAGAATGAATGCAAAGTGCGTATATGTTTCAGAAAGCATGCCGTTTAGTTCAGTTTTATGGAGATATTGAAGTGTACGGTATACTCGGACGGACCGTTAGAAGAGTGAACAAAGAAACCATAGTATGTAGCGAGTAAAATAACGAACGCTTAATGGGTCCCGTGCAATGGTCAAGATGAAAATGGCGAAATACCCAGGAAGCTGTTAATAAAATTAAATGCGCACAGATGGAACCGCCGGGGTGTTTACATGATGGTAACTAGAAACCCATATGGGAGCAGATTTTTTGGCTGTGTCATGTAGGTTCCTTGCTGACACAAGTTTTAAGAGAAATGCGAACAACAGGATACTTCTTTAAGTGGTCTTTTTAATGTGTTTAGATTGGAGATAGAAACAACTTGGTAGGATGAAAGTTCCGTTGTTGGCACTTCCGAACGAATTGGAACTGTGACGACATTCCCGCCGGTCAGATTTAAATGATGACCCCTCAGGTTAGTGTATGATTCGGTTTAAGCAGTGGCGAAAGATGTGGTTTGGGTTCGTTATGATTTGGTAAACTATAAGGAGGTTCCTTCGTAGTGCCGAAACCTATCGCTGTGCAATCTTAAACACCTAAGGTCGTAGGGCAGATGGAAGAAGTCAGTAACACTTTTGAATGCCCTTTATTGGGCAGTCTTGAGAGCGCAGAACTCTTGCTTCTGCAACGGGTGACACGACTGGATTGCGTGTGCCACGTGTTGTCGCATGTAGGTCTTAAGTAGTTGTGGGATGATTGAGGCATCAACTAGACCGAAAGCTCTGCAAAGGTCGACGTGTTGAGTACCGGTGGGCCACGCATTCGCTGATTGTTTCGAACAGCCGAGATCGTCCTGGACAAATGTCCCATGGTCTAGCTCATGAGAAGTCTATTATAAGGTGTATTATCCACTTTTGTACTTGCTCACCGACTGATAGCGACCATGAATCACCTTGCAAGTGCTCTTGTTATTATGAAATGAGTTCCTCATGGACCATTCATGAACGCAGTCCAGGTCATATTGAAGGAAATTGTGATCATCGATGCTACTAATCGTTCGCCATATCAGCTGCGACGATAAATCAGAAAAGGCACTAGGTGAAAGTTTCGTCTAATTGGGACTCATAAATAGCGCGCATCCTCCGGATTCGGCTGGATTCGAGCCCATCACCCTACACATGGGCTCGCGGGATCATGCTGATTTCCGCTCCAATATCGACTAGGATCATGATCCTTGAGATGCGATCAGCTATTTGAATATGCCACTTGTGGTGTTTGGATTAGCGAAGTCAGTCCCTAACACTTGTCGCTCAACTTTTTATAAGTCGCAGTCTCTTGAAAACGATTGAAGGCTTGACTCGATTTACCACGGTCTCTTTCATTACGTCGTAGCAGTTCGTCGCATCAGCTGTGAGAATCAAGTCTCTGAGCTGGACGGAATTTGCATGGTCAGACGGGACAGAAGTTTGCTGAGATTATCTGAATCTGGTATCATATGTTTAGTAACAAATGAAGTTTCTAAAATCATGGACCATAAAGCAATGACCATCTCCATAATAGGAGGAACTACCAGGTTGACTGACTGAACAGTCTGCTTATCTTCACAGAATTTGGAAAAGGAGCTCATGATAAAGAGAGACAAATTAACGCTTGGTGGAAATGAACGAAAAACATGTCACGAATGTATTCGGAGAAGTGGGAAAGAACTTAGCAAAAAGAAAAATACATTACAGTAGGAGTCACCTATTTAGTTGTATGATTATGATCATGGTAAATAATTTAGCTGGAGTGGTCGACTCATTATGCTGGACTTGCCATGTCCTCCTGGCCATTGGCGAGTAGAGTTCCCGGTAGTTGAGAAGGCACGGAAGTGACGGGACGAATGTGTTTACTGGGTATGCGACAATTTCGTGTATTGGCTAACTGTATGACACCGATAGGCCGTATGCTAGCTAGTTAAGGATGTCTGGTTACCTCGGGATGCAATGGCGTAATCAGCCGAAACGTGGCGCTATGTGTGTGCGCCAGTGGATCCGACAACGTGCGTTTCAACCTTCTTCATTAAACATCTGCGTGTACAACAAGGTTATACAGTGCATCCAGACAAACAGTGGGAATCTCCCTACCCGTTACACACTTTCCATTTCTGATTTATAGAGCTGTTTATGAAGCCAGCTGTATTACATCAGAATCAGACGAAGTCAGGAACGTTGACTGTGATTCCAGGCACTTAAGTAATCTAGCAGATTTTAGGTTCATAATTCTCAGTTTGGATAGTAGATCTCATTTCACCGAATTCAGAAAAAGTCACAGAAAGCATGTAACTATTCAAAACTTCCTTTACTTGCCTGCGTTTAAGGTGCCTCCAACTTACCCAACTCAAAGGGTGCGTTGATTGTACTGAGCGTTTCACCGAAGGTATTACCTTACTTGCTTTATTATAACGTTCAAGGAGTGCGCCTGCAAGCCTCAGTGTGTGCTGATAACATTGTTTGATTAAGTTTAAGGGGAGCCAAAAAGCAGGTAGGAACAAACATGGCAGTCGAACACATTAGTGTCAAACGGGGAGAGCAAGAACTATGCTTGTCATGCAGCAGCAACAGCAGGCTGCAGGAGTATGTATTCGTCCCAGGATCTGTCAGTGAGCAGATTGTTAGCTCAGTGCTGTGCCTCTATGTTCACATAACCGATTAGTAACTTAATCGATAAAGTTCATTATTTTCCGCTTCGTACTTGCTTAACTGCGATTAGTACGAGTGTTTGATTCCCTTTGTGGTTAAGTATTGAAGTGATCATTAGTACGCCGGTACGCAATACCGACACTTTGCTGACACGCAACCACCAGCAATCGCATGTGAGCTAAGAATACTGCGACGGTTGCCCGGTCCTTGCGGATCTTCTAACCCGCGCCCTCCGACTACAAGGCATGCCTCTGATCCCTAAGGATACGGACCGGTGCAGTCGTCTCTATCCGGTGGCCTTGATGGTTTGACAGATGCGGATTAGACAGTCTTTTCAAAATAGCAGTAGAGATATTACTCTTCCAACTGTACACCTCTTGCTTTAACTAGTTTTCTTGTTTTAGTACTTGGTATATTCCGTCGAAGGATAGTCAGGAAATTACCCCCGATACGTTTATTAATTACACTTATCTCACAATTAACTTGTTCACTACTTTTTCTTCTAGGTTTGCTTTCTTTCGGTGATGAAGCATGGACTGAATTGTCATTTCGAAACAACGTAGCCCAACAATCCCAGACAGTAAGTTGAGTTTCTATCCGACCGCAAACCGATGTCTGAGTATACGTAGGTAGATCTTCAAGAGCAATGTACAAGTTCTAACTCAGAACAAACAACCTGCTTAATGAGTGATGGAGATGAACAATACCCTGATCTAGACACTCGACTGTTTCCCTGCGAAGAACAGCGCGTCTGTCTGAACAGATGGATAACATTTCGCGTAGGTTAGCTAATCGCAGAGTGCAAACTGAATTATTATCCCGTCCTAAGGCACAACGTGGGCCGATTGCGATTCGACAAGTTGCCTACTAAAGTCCTACCATGCTTCACTTAGTAAGTGTGCACGGAAGTTGATGCACAAAGCTCATATATGTGCAAACTGTAGGTTTGCGGCGTTGATGAGTATTGTGTACCAAAAGGCACAAACAAGCACGAGCCGAAGTAAGAACGCCTGTTCGTCATGCAAACTACTGTAACGTGACAGGTGTCTAACTAGGCTGGATCTTACCGTGGTGCGATGGTTTGCGTGCCTCAGTGGTCCATTGAGTTATGCTGAGTGGTGCTTTTTTTCACCTTCAGTGCCACTCATAACAGATTGGTCAATGGTTAGAGGTCAGACAAACTCTGCTTACCCTCCAGTTGGGGGTTAGAATGAGGGTGACTTCTTATTCCTTAAAACGGACTCCTTGTAGCCCATTGCCCAACCCGTTGCCTTACATTCAGGTTTTTGAACCAAAGGCTTTGGTTGCGAACCCTAATCGTTCTCCTGTATAGGCCTTGGCAGACTGACAGCATGCTACCAACGCAATACAATGAATCGCTCTTCAAACAATTTCTTGATACTCTGAGCATCGCAGGGGATAACAGACGACGCCCTACCTGCTGCATCGAGCAGGTTGGATAGGGGTTTGAATGCTACTGCTCAAGCCTTCCCCCCTTCTCATTCCCCCTCTTCCGCTTTTCACTATTATCGTCCCGTTCCATCTTCAATTTTAGCCCCCCCCCCAGTTTTCAACCCCGATTCTTGGCCCCCCAACATGCTTTGTTGGGCGTTTATCTTCTACTTTCAACTCGCATGCAAACGTGGAGCGTCACTCCTGTCTTGTTGACAAACCCCTTTCCAACCAAGCGGTCCACCCCAGTTCATCGGCTTCCATTTGGAGCCCTCAATCCTCTTTCAGATTGGTATGCCTCAATGTACGCACATTGCTACCGATGGGTCAACAGGCAGCACTTGTCCGAACATTAGAGACTCTCTCGATCGATATATGCTGCTTATCGGAGACCCGCCTGCAAGACTCGAGCTCAGTGCTCACTTTGCGATCCCCTTCAGGTGACACCGGCAGCACTTCTCATTGCGCCTATCCGGTGAACATGCAGCTTCGAGCACCGGCCAAGCTGTTGTTGGCATTGCCATGAGTCCCCGGGCTGAAGCTGCGCTGGTTGATTGGATCCCAATCAGTAGCCGTATGTGTGCAGTCCGATTGGCTGGCTCGTTCAGAGCTACAAAGTCGCGCCGGACTAATAGGTGTCTAATCGTCATCGCTGCCTACGCGCCCACAAACCCTGGCGATGGTTCGGTAAAAACGACTTCCATCGCCAACTGACCGAGCGCCTTCTCCACAGAAGAAGCACGGACTGGTGGAGGATCTGAATGCTCAAGTTGGAATATTATCCACTGATGGACTGCATCTGGGTGGCCAACACGGTTTAGTCTCCAGTAAAGCTAACCTTGAGCAGTTACCTCAGTTGTGTGAAGACGCCCGCTTATTTCTTGTGAGCACTAACTTCCGACACAGCTGAAGTGTTTCCCACCTCCAGCTAACGTGTAATAATAATGATGATGATGATCCGACACAGCACCCACCGGAGGGTGACTTGGCGCCCAGCAGCCTCTAACCCGCTTTGGAGGCAAATCGAGCGCATTGCAACCAGTTACCGCTGGAGAGGCCGCGTCCAGAACCGTCGCTAGATTTGGAGCACATGTGGGGATATCCACAATGCACTTGGGTGTGCTGACATGCGGATGCGTTTTGGCAGACGCCCACGGTGACACTGTGAGCACATTGACACCAGTTCACTGGCCATGCCAGCTGTCCTAGATGCGTATCGAAGTACGTTAGCATGCGGGTTGAGTAAGCTCTCACTGAAGACAATTGATGGTCACTGGTCGCATGCTCTTCAGACTTTACTAACATCAGGCAAATCCTCATGTGGCAATCCAACATGGACATTGGTTCTCCTCGCGGTCTCTGGAACTTATCGATACTCCATGACACATTACGTATGGAAGCGAACAAAGTAAGACTCGCCAAGAGCTCCGGGCAAAACTCCGTGCGAGCCTGAAGAGGGACCGCGAATCCTGGTGGTCTCATCATGCATCAGAGATGGTTGTGGCCGCTGCCCTTGGTAACCATCGAAAGTCGGATACGGGAATCGACCAGCAGAAGACCTGGTGTCAGTGGAACAATTTATGACGAGAGTGGACAGCTTATCCAAAACTTGTCCAAACGGTTGCAGCGTTGGGCCTAGCATTTGGAAAAGCAAGTTAATCGGCCAGAATTGTTAGATTCCTCACCGTCCAGTGATCGCCCTGATGCTTGGGCTGTCCCTTTGGATCCACCCTCTTGCTCAGAAGTCGAACGCCTTCGTCAGGTCTCCACGCCTTGGGACCTAGTTATAGTCACCGAAACATGGCTGAACACGGAGATCACGGATGCTGAGAGTGCACTATCCGGCTTGACTTACATACGAAGAGATCGACCTAGCAGAGGAGGGAGAGTGCTGCTGTAGTATCGATCCGACCTGCATGTTAATGTCACTGAGGACACAGAAACGAAAGCCCTCGATTCGTTTTGGTGTCTTATGCACCTAAGACGTAGTGATGTGTGTTTACTAGCAATAGTTTACCACCCTCCAATGTCCCCCTTGGAAATGGATCAATGCCTAGTTGCTGCAAATGGAACGAGTCCTGGCACGACCATACAGTCACGTCCTTCTGATGGGGGGACTTCAACCTGCACGCAATCGAAGTTCCAGCATGACAGAGCGAACAAATCAAGGCGGATTTGCAGGAGGTGATCGCCGATGTACCTCTGTACAACCATGTCACCTCTCCCACGCGATTCCGGACGGGTGACACACCCTCTCGTTTGGACTTTGTGCTCTCTAACGAGGAACTGATGGTCAACACCGTGACCATAGATGCACCACTTATCCGTAGTGATCACGCCATGTTGCTCTTTCTTTACATCTGTTACTCGAAGTACATCAGTGAAAACAACGGGGAAACCTATGTCGTCACATATTACGACATCCTATCCAACTTTATTCAAGAAGCCGACTGGTTCTTCCTGGCCCAGCAGCCGACCGATGTCGCCTGGATCTTGTTCGTCACCCAATGCACTGAGCTAGTGGCAAATACGTCAGAAAGCAAGGTCCTTCGCCCGAAGCAAATGAATTCGCTCCTGAGGAGCCGTACTAGAAAATGCATGGCCTTAAGCGATTCAGCCTGGCGCTTTTACAAAGTCTGTCCAAGTAATCTGACCAGGGGTACTTACACAACTCAGTGAAACCACTGCGGCAATTTGATCCGAGAAGACAACATCCGGCACCAACAGAACTTAGCGGCGAAATTCAATACAAGTCCCAAGTCGCTGTATAGACATGTCAACAAGCTCCGCAGTGTGCAGCGCGGAATCCCGGTTTTACGTGTAACAGATGGTCTTGCGCAAACCGCAAAAGATGCAGCCAACGTGCTTCGCCAATACTTTATCCATATTTTCCGGCGAATCATCATCTCGGCCGCGTTTGGTACTGTTCCCATCTACACCAGGAGTAAACCACTTATTGTTCACGGCAACTAATGTCATGAAAAGGCTAATGTCATTGCGTGTGCACAGCTCACCTGGCGTGGACGACATCAAACCGAAGGCCTCGAAAGCAGCGGCCATGAACCTTGCCGAACCTTTAGCTCCGTTATTTCAACGTTGTCTCGAAGAAATGCAGGTTTCGACAATGTGGAAACATGGAGTAGTCACTCCTATATACAAAAGTGGTAATCGTTCGGAGCCCTAGAACTACCGTCCAATCTCCTCCCAGTTTTATCCAAAGTAGTGGAATGCAAAATTGCAGAGGCGCTCATGGGATATCTTGAGAGCAACAACATCCTAGTGTCACAGCAACATGGATTCCGCCGAAATGGATCCTGCACTACAAACTTGCTGCTAGCCCGAGCAAGCTGGACAGAGTCAACCGATGCCAGAGTGGGAGTCGACGTTGTCTACTTGGACTACTCGAAAGCGTTTGATCGCTTGGAGCACCGCATTCTCCTTCACAAGCTTCGAAGCTATGGTATCAGTGAACCTATACTCGGTTGGATCGGCAACTTCCTCGCTGAACGTCAGCTGAATGTGAGGGTTCGCAATTGAAGTCCAGTATGGCGTACTTCAAGGATCGCTACTGGGGCCACGCTTATTCCTAACATACATTAGTGAATACTGAATACTGGTTCGAAGCAGCGAGTAGAGTTTTCTCTGTGTAGCTGCATCATTCGTCGCACTTGGACATATACTCCTTATTTATCGTTCCGCTCTCTATATTTCGCCTCTGTCAAGTGTTTGTCTAGGAGCTTCTTCAATTCGGACACTGAGTTCGCCTCTACTATGTGCTGCGGCAGGTCGTTCCAGACATTCACCACTCTGCGTTCGAAACAGAGTTGGTGAGCCACCAGCTTCAAATCCAGTACGATAAGTTTATACCGGTGTCCTCGCGTGCAGCTTGGTGTGCGCAGATGAAGCAGTTGTCTCAACATGGGGTATTCACTCAGATGTATATCGGGTGCGGCATAATGAGGTCAACCCTCAGCCGACGATGAGCTAGGGTGTACAGCCCTAATTTCTTACATCGGTCTTCGTATGGCATACCTAGTAAGTTGGGAATCAGTCTGGTGGCTACATGCTGCACCCGCTCAAGTTTTTCTACCTCGCCCCAGGTGATGGGACAATACGCGGGAGATCCGT